ATAAAAAAATTACCAGACTGCCACACCAACAGTAAATTTTGCCAAAATGCCACGCGGCATAATTCGCTACACAGTGTAGCGAATTATGTATGCAAGTAATTCGCTACACAGTGTAGCGAAATATGCCACGTCAGAACGCACAGAACCAAAAATTCCACTTGTCAAATTTTGCAAAATTCACTACATAGGGTAGCGAATTTTGCAAAATTTGACACGTGGCATTTTTTGTTCTGACGTGGCATATTTCGCTACACTGTGTAGCGAAATACTTGCATACATAATTCGCTACACTGTGTAGCGAATTATGCCGCGTGGCATTTTGGCAAAATTTACTGTTGGCGTGGCAGTCTGATAATTTTTTTGTCCAAACGTGGCAAAATGGTCACTCTCCCGACATTCTCTCTAACAAAATGTAGATCCAATTAAAAGTGCTTAGTTCTTTAGTTAAAAATAGGTTTAGCAGAGAGAAGCAAAATCGAAAGTTTGTCACAGTAGTGGATGGAGGATGAGGAACTCTAATCCGCAGTTCAGATAGAAAGGACTTCATCCGAGTAAGCTTAGCCACTATTGCAGCAAGGCACTGATACTCAGCCTCAGTACTGGAACGACTGACAACTTGTTGCTTCTTCGAGGACCAGGTAATAAGATTATCACCAAAAAAGATGCAAAAGTCGTCGGTGGATCTTCGATCATCAAGGTCAGAACCCCATTCTGAGTAATAATAAGCAACAAGGTTGAAGTGTTTCGACGATTTAACGACTAGACCATGATCCATGATTGACAATGTCGCGTAAAAGTAACGAAAGATTCATTTTACTACTTTCCAGTGAGTGTCAAGGGGATTATGCATATACTGAAAAACTTTATTCACACAAAATGCAATATCAGGCCTGGTTATGGAGGCATGCTGAAGAGCTCCAATAATAGAACGATACAAGGAGAGCCATCATGAAAGGAAAGCTTCAAGCTGGACACCATTGGTGTTGGCATGGGTTTGCAATTGGTCATATTGGCTTTCTGTAGAAGGTCAGATTCATACTTGGACTGATTTAGATAATATCCTCTATATTTAGTTTTGTGCGCTTCGATTCTTAGAAAATAGTGGAGTTGGCCAAGATCTTTGAGAGCAAAAACACCATTTAGAGAGGAAATAAGAGACTTGATTGCAGAGGTTGAAGAGCCAGTAACAAGGATGTCATCAACATATACAGGTATGAAGATTGAGGGGCAGAGTTGCTAATACTAATTTGATTGAATGTACTTGGGAAATTGTGGTTAAACCGATGATGACATTCCTAACCTGTGTGTCCATACTTGCCACAAACTTGATACTGGGTCGGGTTGCCATTGCCACGACCTCCCCATCTAGGAAACCTTCCTCTGTTATTTCTGCCTTCTTTATTCAGATTGAACCCTCATTTGTTGGAGCCTGAGGAATTGTTTTGCCTGCGAGATTGAAATTGAGCCATGTTGGCTTGCAATGTAGCAACTTCCCGTGTTTTGTGCCTTGCTATTCTTTGTTCTTAGGCTATGAGGAGAGCTTATATTTCACCTACAGTGTATGGATCAATTCTTGAGGTGACAAAGGTAACAAAAGAATTATAGTCTTCATTGAGACCATCCAAGATCGCATCGATGTGGTCTTCTGCATCCACTAGACATCTTGTTGCAGCCAAGGAGTCAACAATCTTCTTGATTTGGAGCAGGTATTTCGAAACCTCCCATTCTTTTCGGGTGTTTCTCAACTGAATTTTCAGTTGTTTGACTTTGGCTCTTGTTTTTGGGGCAAAGGATTTTTCTAACTTCTTCCAAACTTGGAAGGAATTCTGGAAACCAACCATACTCGGGTATAGTGTTTCTGTCATGGAGGAAAGCAACCATGACAACAATAATTGGTCTTGTTGAATATCTAACAATCTTTGAGTTTCTTGATTTGTGGTGCTTGTGGTGACTAAGTCTTTTTCTAGGTATGGTGCTTGTTGAAACTGGATTAGAGGAAGTTTTGATTGAGTTTTGCACGCGTGTTGCCTCCATGAAAGATATCAAGATTGGATGATGAAGAAACAAGAAGATGAAGAAGTCAACATCTGAATATACCTCTGAATATTATTCAATGAATTATTGAGTTTACAAGAGAGCTATAGCCTTTACATAAGCTGATCAAGATTAGTTATTAAACTGAGTTTAATAACTAAATCAGTTATAAATCAATTACATTAGTTATAACAATGCATTATTATATCTATTTGTATATTGTATCTCATCAAAATATAAAAAGTAAAATGTGAAAATTATTAATTACTTAATTAAAAAAATTAAAAATGTTGAATAATATTCAAAATGTTATGTATTTCAAAGAAAAATAATAATACAATAACATTCAATAATAAGGACTTTATTTTATTACGTAAGGACTAAGGATGCATTGTTTATACGCAAAAAGTAATATTGTTTTCATATTTTTTATAAAACTTTGAAAATATGAATCATAATAATTTTTGTTATGATAATTATTAATAGAAAAAAATATTTATTCTTTTAAAGGATAGTTATTTTAGTTAAAACTATTATTTTTTATTTCATATTTAAATTAAAAAAATCTCTCACTTTCTTCCATAATAATTTTTGTTTCTCTTACTATAAAACATAATAGTTTTGATTAAAATAGCTTAATTATATGTCTTTTTGTTGTAATTAAATATCTTTTAAAAGGATAAACACTAAACTAATCATTCCAATAAATAATATTACTTAAAAATGAAACAAAAGATGATTAAAATATCCTTCAAATTGAAAATTTGGATGATTGAAAAGTTTAAGTGAATGTAATAACAAAAATAACATTAAATATTATTATATGTATCACCTAAACAATATGTGTTATTATATGTGGATATATAAAAAAAAAAAACAGTATACATATAATAAACAACAAAATAACATGTCTATTTATTGCTTGTCATGGTAGGTAAGGTGGCTATTAGAGGTTGTTTGGAACGAGATGTTCTTCAAGATTTTGGGAAAACTAAATTTTTTAAATTTTAAATTTTTGAATATTATTATAAATTAAATGTAAAAATTATATTTTTAAAAATCGTGATTCCCGGACAAAAAAAATTTCTCCTCTATCAAATGTCTTCTCAAAGAGAAGTTCCCTACTTCCGTTCCGTTGAGAGTGCCGTAATGGTACCTGTCCACTTTAAACGCAAGTGATTTTTTATTATTTTTAAAGAAGGGAAGATATGAAATTATGATTGTTTGTTAATAATATAACGATATATATATATATATATAATAAATACAAACATACTAAAATATACCTTCTTAATTTCTTAAACAGTATAAACAGTAACAATGACCGCACTTTGATTTCTAAAATGAACCGTCATTTACAGAGAAACTAAATCTCACAAGCTAATATGCAATTGTCGATTTGTCCCTTTTTTAAAAGGATCCAATCCGATCATAAAGAAGTACGCAAATGAATTACTTCTAATGGAACAAAAATTGACGGATGCAGCTACTGCTGTCCCTCCAAGATATAAACTATTAATTAATTTTCACTTAATAGAGTATTAATTGCAAAATATATACCATTACTAAATTTGTTTGACATTTTTTTAATATATTTTATAAGGTTTCTGTTAGCATATAATTAAGAGTTTCATACTAATATCTACTGATATTATGACATATTATTATCAATTATTACTTCATTTTCTCAAAAATTAATACAAAGGCCGATCAATAATAACATACTCAAATATTAATAAATGTCGATATAAATTCAATTTTATTGTCAATTCTTATTGACTAAATTCTTATTAATGCTAATCTACACTTTCAGAAGTTCAATGCTATTCTATTTAAACATAACTAACTCCATTAAAATAAGATTGTCTATAAAGTAAATGAATAAGGATATATTTATCCATATAAGTTATTCTATTTATATTTTTTTTGTTTATTTTTTTCTATCACTCTCTAATATTATTATATCGGAATACAAAAATGATAAAAGTAGTTGAAATTCTGATATAATAATATTAAGGAGTGGTAGACAAATATAGACAAAAAAAAAAGATAAATAAAATAATCTATCTCATATTTATCATTAAATTAATTTAAAATACATTATAATTCTAGCGAACTAAAATTTAAGGGTGAATATGATTTGACTTACCTACTCTAGCGATAAATATATTTCAGAGAAAAATTTTCGTGTACCCATCCTTTATCCCCCTAAATACGATAGACGTCTTCTTTTTCCTAAATTAGAGAAATTTAACTAATCGATGATTATTTTGAATAATTTTTTTCTAGTAACTGATTTAACAATAAGAACATCAGTTGGTCACGTGCACACGGGATCCCCCGCACGCGATCTTGCCGAAAACATAAAATGTCGTGCGAGAAAAAAAGAAAGTAGTTGGTTTGGAAGATGGACACAACAACGTAACGGGCATGAGCATGAGGCAAAGTGAGAAAGCAAAAACAAAAACCCAAATCGCGCGAAGCCGTATCTTTCAAAACCTTTTCCTCTCTTGATCTCTTCTCTTCACTTCATTCTCTGTTTCACACCTAATTTCTCTTCCTCCTTCATCAGTTCCTCTGCAAAAAGAGAAATAATGCAGCTCAATACCCTATTATTAACCCTACGACTACCTCCCTTTCCCAACAACCTTCATTTCCAAAGATTATCTCGCCCTTCTCTTCACTTTTCTCGTCCAACTCTCTCTTCTCAAACTCTTTCACCTGAGAACCGTTCCTTCAAGTTATTAATAACAGCCTGCGCCAGCAACGTCAATCATCTTGAAATTCGAAGCGAGAATAAGATCAATTCCGAGCGAGTTTCTCTGTTCAGTGATGAAGAGGAAGAGGAAGAGGAAGCAGGTTCTAATTCTAATACACACAGTCTCACTTGCGATTCGGAGCCAGTCTCAGAGTTCAATGTTGAAGAACAAACTGGTTCCAGTTCCAATTCTAATAGACACAGCATATGGGAACAAACGAAGGAGATTATGATGTTTTGTGGACCTGCCATTGGGCTCTGGATCTGTGCGCCGTTGATGAGTCTCATCTCAACGGCCGTCGTTGGTCGACGAAGCTCTACTGAGCTTGCTGCTTTAGGTAATTAATCTTCCAAATTAAATTCAAATCATGCCATTTTCTTTGATTATCCCTTTGTTTTCGATTTTAGCAAGTTAATTATATTAAAAAAAAACATGTTGTTTCGTGTGGCCAGGACCTGGAACGGTTTTTTGTGATAACATGAACCTCTTGTTCATGTTCCTCTCGATAGCAACTTCCAATATGGTTGCTACTTCACTTGCAAAAGGGGTTAGTTTTTTGGCTTTTCATGTGTATTCTATATATGTCATGCTACAATCGGTGCAATTATGTCGAACCATTGTCACTGAATATCAGAAACTCATTCTTAATGGTTCATTTGTTATGTTTCTGAACCATCATGCCATAAATCTACCACCAGAAGCTATGATAATTATTATTTTTTTCTCCCTGTTCTGTTGGGTTTTTAAACTTTATTTGAATAAAAGAAAATAGAAAATGAAAGGTTTTTTTGGTGAAGAGGTGTGTCTCTTAGGAATTTGTTAGTGGACATTAATGAGTTTAAAGTTTCTAAGAAGTAGTCATTAATGTGTTTAGATTTCCTAAGTTAGTCATTAGTATTTCTAGTTATTTGCTATTGCTTTTAAATAGTACCATGTAAATCATTTGAATGTAAGGCTTGAATGTTAATGATATACAAAGAGGTATATTCAGAGAACTCCTTGTGTGTTTTAAGTGTTTGAGAGAAACACCATTAGAGGACCTGCGATTCACAAATTGGCATCAAAGCTTGAGTTATGGAGAGTGTGAGCACTTCCAGTATGTCGTTGCCCCGCCTGACAAAGGCGAATTACGTGAATTGGAGTATCCAGATGAAGGCGTTGCTCGGATCCCAGGATGCTTGGGATGTTATTCATGACGGTTTTGCTGAACCTGCAACCACTGCAGGATTTACAGCAGCTCAAACCAAGGCGTTGAAAGAGACGCGTGCGAAGGACAAGTCAGCCTTATACACGCTTTTCCGAGCTATAGACGAGTCCGGATTTGAGAAGATAGCAGGAGCAACGACGTCTAAGGAAGCATGGGACATCTTGGAAAATGTCTATAAAGGTGCTGACCGAGTAAAGCAGGTCCGACTTCAAACTCTACGTGGCGAGTTGGAAGGCATGAAGATGAAAGATTCAGAGGGTGTATCCGAGTTCATCACCCGAGTTCAAGCCGTGGTGAATCAGTTAAAGCAGAATGGTGAGCAGATATCTGATACTAGAGTTGTTGAGAAGATTCTGAGGTCGCTGACCGACGACTTCGAAAATGTGGTATGTGCAATTGAGGAGTCGAAGGACTTGGCTACGCTTTCTGTTGAAGAGCTAGCAGGTTCCCTTGAGGCGCATGAGCAGCGCAAGAAGAAGAAAAAGGAGGAGTCGCTGGAGCAAGCACTCCAGACAAAAGCAAACATTAAAGATGAGAAGGCGCTCTATTCTCAAAATGTCCGAGGTAGAGGTCGTGGACGAGCTGGACGTGGAAATGGCCGAGGTGGTCGTGGCCGAGGTCATGAGGTGAGAAATGAAGAAAGAGCTGAGTCGAGTCAGAGAGGAAGAGGACGTGGCCGAGGTGGAAGAGGCCGGTGGTCAAATCAAACAAATGTGGAATGTTACAAGTGTGGCAAGTATGGCCATTACTCGAGAGATTGCAACTCGGACAAGTGTTACAACTGTGGCCGAGTTGGGCATTTCGCTAAGGATTGCCGAGATGAAAGAAAAGTTGACGAGGCTTCAAACCTCGCTGTAGAAGGAGATGGAGGAGTTCTTATGCTAGCCCATGGTGAAACCAGTTCAAAGAATGAGACGGAGTGGTATTTGGATACCGGTGCCAGTAACCACATGTGTGGTTACAAACACTTGTTTAAGGAGTTGAAGACGGTGGAAGCCGGACATGTCTCTTTTGGAGACGCGTCCAAAATTGAAGTAAAGGGTCGAGGTACGATCTGTTTCTTGCAAAAGGATGGACGAGTTGGTACAATCCGGGACGTGTATTACGTGCCCGAGCTCAAAAGTAACATATTAAGCATTGGACAGCTGATGGAGAAGGGTTACTCGGTTCTAATGACAGACCGAGTTCTACTGTTGAAAGACAAACAAGGGCGTCTGATAGCCCGAGTTCAGATGGAAAAGAACAGAATGTACAAGCTGAGTCTAAGGAGCATGGAGGTCGGCTGTCTTCAAGCCGGGGTAGAAGATAAGATGGACTTATGGCATAGACGGTTTGGACACCTTCATTATGGTGGTCTGACCGAGACGATGAAGAAGGACATGGTAGTGGGACTACCGAAGATTAATTCTGAAGGAAGATTTTGCGAGGACTGCGTATTGGGAAAACATGCGAGAAGCCCGTTCCAAAGGATGGCAAGATACCGAGCTAGGCAGCCTCTGGAGTTGATACATACCGACCTGTGTGGACCCATTACTCCGGGGTCTTTCAGTGGTAAGAAGTATTTTGTAACCTTTATTGATGATTTCAGTCGAAAGACTTGGGTGTATTTTTTGGAAAAATCCGAGGTGCTAGAGGCATTCAGGAGTTTTAAAACAATGATAGAGAATGGTACTGGAAGATACATCAAGTCGGTCCGCTCAGACCGAGGTGGGGAGTACGTGTCAACAGCTTTCAAGAAGTATTGTGAAGAACATGGGATAAGGCGGTTCCTGACCGCTCCGTACTCGCCCCAGCAGAATGGAGTAGCTGAGAGAAAGAACCGGACTATCCTGGATATGGTCCGATCTATGCTAAAAACGAAGAACATGCCAAAGGAGTTCTGGGGAGAAGCCGTGCAATGTGCCGTGTACGTGCAAAACCGATGTCCGCACTCAAGTGTGAATGATAAAACTCCACAAGAAGCATGGAGTGGTCTAAAGCCATCAGTGGCTCATTTCAAGATTTTTGGTAGTGTTGCGTATGCACACATACCGTATCAATTGAGGACAAAGCTAGAAGATAAAAGTAAGAAGTATGTGTTTATTGGCTATGATGAGAAGACGAAGGGGTACAAGTTGCTGGACCCCGTCAATAAAAAGGTGTTGGTGAGCCGAGATGTAAAAGTGAATGAGGAAGATGGATGGGACTGGAGTAGTCCATCTGGGGTCAATGTGGAACCCGGACTAAAATCAATTGAGGTCGGACAACCTTCAAATCAATTGAGGTCGAGAACCCGAATGACTCAGATAGTGATGAAGAGATGAGACAACCGAGATTGAGGAGTCTACAAGATTTGTATGATTCCACCAGTGAAGCACACTTGGTATGTCTGTTGGCAGATTCTGAAGAAGTAAGCTTTGAAGAAGCAATCCGAGATGAGAAATGGCAATCAGCCATGGAGGAGGAAATAAAGGCGATAGAAAAGAACAAGACGTGGGAGTTAGCCGAGCTGCCCAGAGGAAGTCGGCCCATTGGTGTGAAATGGGTCTACAAGAAGAAAATGAACGCTAAGGGGGAGATCGAAAGATACAAAGCCCGGCTAGTGGCGAAAGGGTATAGGCAGAAGGCCGGCATTGATTATGACGAGGTGTTCGCACCCGTAGCAAGAATGGAGACAATCAGGCTGTTGATCTCTCAAGCAGCCCAATTCGGATGGCCGATCTATCAGATGGATGTGAAGTCGGCATTCTTAAATGGAGTACTCGAAGAGGAGGTATATCTGGAACAACCTCCGGGATTCATGAAAGCCGGACAAGAAAGAAAAGTGTTGAGACTGAAGAAAGCCTTGTATGGGTTGAAGCAGGCCCCAAGAGCCTGGAACACAAGAATTGACAATTACTTCAAAAAGGATGGATTTGAGCAGTGTCCATATGAACATGCTCTCTATGTAAAGAAGAAGGAAGGTAAAATTTTACTTGTTGCCTTATATGTTGATGACTTAATTTTTCTGGGAAATGATGAAAGAATGATAAAAGACTTCAAGAAGAAAATGACGGAAGAATTCGAGATGACGAATCTCGGTCTGATGAGGTATTTTCTTGGTCTGGAGGTCAGACAAGACAAATCCGGGATCTTCGTCTCTCAGGAAGCCTATGCAAAAGGAATTTTAGAGAAGTTTAAAATGACAGACTGCAACCCGGTTTCAACGCCAATGGAACCCAGGTTGAAACTTTCAAAGTATGATGGAGGAGAGAGAGTTGATCCGAGTTACTACCGAAGTCTAGTTGGAAGTCTGAGATACTTGACGTGTACGAGGCCGGATCTGTGTCTGAGTGTTGGGATCATAAGTCGATTTATGGAAGACCCGGGGTACACTCACTGGAAGGCGGCTAAGAGAATTCTGAGATATGTGAAGGGAACAATCTCGCAAGGACTTCATTACTCGAAGTCGGACAAATACAAGTTGACGGGTTATTCAGACAGTGATTGGTGCGGAGATGTTGATGATAGAAAGAGCACGGCTGACTATGTGTTTTTCATGGAAAACACGGCTTTCACGTGGGTATCAAAAAAGGAACCCATTGTGACCCTGTCTACATGTGAAGCCGAGTATGTTGCGGCATATTGGTGTGTTTGCCATGCAATATGGCTAAGGAATTTACTAAGCAAGCTGGAGCAAGGGCAAGTCGGCGCAACCGAAATCCGAGTTGACAACAAGTCTGCGATCGAGTTAGCAAGGAACACGGTAAATCATGAGAGGAGTAAGCATATTGATGTCAGGTTTCATTTCATCCGAGATCAAGTCAAAGAAGGAAAAGTGGAGCTCACTCATGTTGCAAGTCGAGATCAAGTTGGAGATATTTTTACAAAGCCCCTGCTGACGTTGTTGTTTGAAAATTGCAAGAAGAAGATGGGAATGAAGGATGGTAGAGATATTAAAGTTTAAGGAGGAGTTTTGTTGGGTTTTTAAACTTTATTTGAATAAAAGAAAATAGAAAATGAAAGGTTTTTTTGGTGAAGAGGTGTGTCTCTTAGGAATTTGTTAGTGGACATTAATGAGTTTAAAGTTTCTAAGAAGTAGTCATTAATGTGTTTAGATTTCCTAAGTTAGTCATTAGTATTTCTAGTTATTTGCTATTGCTTTTAAATAGTACCATGTAAATCATTTGAATGTAAGGCTTGAATGTTAATGATATACAAAGAGGTATATTCAGAGAACTCCTTGTGTGTTTTAAGTGTTTGAGAGAAACACCATTAGAGGACCTGCGATTCACATGTTCCTTGTGCCTTATCTTCAAGGATGTCAAATTTAGTACATATGGGTATTTTTGTTTTACTGTTTCTAGAGTTGGAGTGGAGGCAATATTTCTTAAATGTTGACAGTTAATTCCTGTACTGTACTTTTGACTATAGATTGCTGCAATAAACGGTGCAGGACAAAAATGAGACGCAGCATCAAATATCTATTTTGCTTTTTGTTGGCTTTATATGTGGGGCACTGATGCTTTTGTTTACACAATATCTTGGTCCATGGGCATTAACCGGTAAGTAATCCGCATAAATATTTTGTTTATCTGAACGTTACAAAATACACGTATAGTGCACATTTTACTTGCTTTCGGCAGTTAGTCATTTTATAAGGCAACGGCAAGAAATGAACAATGCAATTGCAATATACCGAAGACGAACCTCCAATAGGGCAATGGAAATATATTAACAATAGGCTGTTTATTTTTCATTTACAGCTTTTACTGGGCCAAAGAATGTGCATATTGTACCTGCAGCAAGCAAATATGTTCAGGTTCATTTTCTTTCTCTCTATTTTTTATTTTTATTTTTTATTTTTTATTTGGTTACAAGGTTCATTTTCTTTCTATTAAAACCCAAACCTGTCTTTAATTTGATCACTTGATCATCCAATATTCTCAAAAAAAAGTTGTAGCCATAACATATTAACATATACTTCTTAATCATGTTTTTCAACAAGTGCCTTGACTTAATAGTTTTGCACCTAATTCTCAGATTGATTCTTAGACCTTTGACTTAAAAAGAGATATTGTCTTGATAGATTCGTGGCTTGGCATGGCCTGCGGTTCTTTACGGACTGGTTGCTCAAAGTGCAAGGTGTGCCTCTACCCATGCGTCATCTATTATTCACCTGCAACTCTGAGTCTGAAAGCATGTGAGGGTTGTTATTTTCTGATGGTTATGAATTTTACATTCGCTCATCATGTTGTGAGGTTTTATATCGGTCCAGTAGTGTAAGCAATGACCATACAGGATACACAATATACAATCTTTACATGAAGTAACTTTCTCTGTTTTTATCTTCATACGGTGAATTATATGCTTTTGCATAGCTTTTCCATTAGTTTGTCACTTCATGTTTTGAACCTGGCAAGACTTGGAGAATTCTGTGCATTCATATGGAATTCCTTCTCAAACAGCAATTTCATAAACATAATACTTAAATTCTCTGGGGTAAAACTATTTTCATGTTTTTGTTAATCTAAAGTCGAGACTTCTAGTTGCATGTTTGCCACCTGGAAACTGTGATTGAAATTTTTCATTAAGACACTGTTCAGCATAATTTGGCTTGAAGATTGTTCTTTTTTTAATCATCACTAGGCCCATATTTTGGATGGAATGTAAAGTAACGGTGAAAATAGGTATCCTGATCTGCAAGTAGCATGGACTTCCTGCTCTAGAATGCATTTCACTACATTTTTTGCTATAAGTTTGAATTCTTACGTCGAGTCTACTTAGTACCCACGCTGATGATAAATAAATCAGTACTTATATTGTCATATTGCATTCTGATAATGTTTTGATCTTGATTTAGTCTTGGCATGAAAGATTCATGGGGACCTATGAAGGCTTTGGTCATTGCCAGTGCTGTGAATGGAATTGGTCATGTAATCCTATGCAGTTTTCTGCAGTATGGTATAGAGGGTGCAGCATGGGCGACAATGGCATCCCAAGTATGTTAAAGAAGCATTTGTCACAAGATTTGGGTCGATTTTTATTTTATCTTCTTTCTTTTTTTTTGCTGACTCATTCTTCCAAATTCCAATACCCCACCTGTCTAATTTCTGTACAGATTGTAGCAGCTTTTATGATGATTGAAGCACTGAACAAGAAAGGATATAATGCTTTTGTCATCTCAGTGCCATCATTCTCTGACTTTCTGAAAATATTCGGGATTGCAGCACCTGTGTTTGTGATGATGTTCTCAAAGGTTGATTAGGTTTTTCTTGGATTGTACCTGAATTGGCTTGCTTGTATATATATGCATCTGAGATTCTTTTTGTGTTTTTAGGTGGCTTTCTACTCTCTTATTACATATTTTGCCACAGCTATCAGCACTCATACAGTTGCAGCTCATCAGGTTGGCTTTACTTACAATTGCATTTTCATTGCTATATCCTTTCTATGTATGGGGATCTGTTTTTCATATATTAATGATCAAGTCACCATTTACTAGGTTATGATTCAGATGTACAGCATGTGTGTAGTATGGGGGGAACCTCTTTCTTTAACTGCACAATCATTTATGCCCGAGTTATTATACGGGTTCAACCGAAGTTTGGAGAAGGTTAGTAAAGTTCAGTTGCCGTATAAGGTCATACAGCATGTCTTGGTGAATATTACTTCTCACTATTACATATCTAATGCCCAAAATGTTGTGTTATTCCATGACTTAAATTTTTGTGTGTTTGCGCTCACGTGTATCACTACTCACTGACAACGAATATCTTGAGCTAATTATATGGAATGAAAGGACCTCGAGTTTTTGCACCTAAAAAAAGAGACCTTGAGTCGTCTCATCTGTCTTTTAAATGGGGCATCGTTTCTCTTTGTCCACTAAAGGTTAAGGAATGTCAAACAGGCACGAACTCTGCTGAAGTCGCTGGTGATTATTGGAGCATTACTAGGACTAGTAATTGGGGTTGTCGGAATGTCCGTTCCTTGGCTGTTGGCAAACATCTTTACTCCTGATCCTAAGGTCATAAAAGAGGTTTGTTATTCGAAACTTAAAGAAGTTACTCTATTTGCTTTACTCCTTCTGGCTATTTGGTCTCCCAGTTTTTGCGGCATGCTGTAACTTTAGCTGGATAAATGACTAGTGTTTTTTGGTTATGAATTAACTTTGTTTTTGCGATAGCTAAGTTGTTGCTGCTACGTGAATTTATTAGAATATATGAAAAATATCTCCTAATATCTACAATGTATCTTAAAATAGTTTAAAATAATTTAGATGATCTTTTGGGAATATTTTCTTTATTTTTTATATTTCTTAATTGATTAAGATTTAGAGTTTAATATTAGTGTAAATAAGGATTTATGCTTTGTTGTTTGTATCACATTTTGTAACACATTAAATTAATAATTTTAGATTTATTAGAAAAAAATTCTTATTTCTTTATTTAAGATTTAGAGTTTAATAATAATATAAACGAGGAATAATGTTTGTACCTAGGGGTGTAAATAGGTTAGGTTAGGCTAGACTTTGACTTAAATAGGCCAGACCTATTTACAAAACATTGGATCTGGTCTGGCTTGTTAGCCTGTGTAGGCCCCAAATTATAAATCTGACCTGAGCTATATTTAAAAAACAAAAGCCTTGACCTAGGCCTATTACGTGTTTAAGACTATTAAACATTCAATAATTAAAAGAATAACTAAAATAATATTAGTTTATTATTCAAAATTATTAAAATAATAATTTTATTTATTTTATTTAAAATAAATAATATGATATAGGCCGGCCTGTAAGCTTATAGGCCGGCCCGATATATACAAAAAACCTATGGCCTGTTTTGTAAATAGATTTTTTAATAGTCTATGCCTATTCTATTTTACTATTTGTAATAGGTCAAGTCTGGCTTAATATAAGCTAGGTCGTAGACCCTTGTAGGCCGGCCTAGCACATTTACACCGCTATTTGTACCTTATATCAACATCATAACCTTAGATTATTGAGTCTTTATTCTCACTCTTTTACCATCCCTAATCGATTCGCTTTATTTTCAACAAACTTACGCTACTTGAGTACTTGATTAGTGTTGCAATCACTGGATTAAGTTAATTTTGGTTTTTTCACTTCCAAGAAGTGACTGACAAATGAATTCTAGAAATGTTTAAAGGAGGGTTTTTTATCTTGTGAATGATTTGTACTTCATTGTTGATGAAGATTTTCATTTAAAAAAGTCAATAGATTGAAACCTTTGATGCGAGTTTAAGCTTTTACATTAGTTTAAAGAATCAGTGCCTTTTTAATTTTAATCGATGCTTAACTTCAATTTTGTTTTAATGCAGATGCACAATGTGTTGAGTCTGTTCTTTATTGCATTATCTGTGGCACCCTGTACTCACAGCCTCGAGGGTACATTATTGGTACGTTAGATCTTTCTGACATTTTTAATAGTTTCAAATGTCCAATATTAATGATGTGATCTTATCCTGAGAATGATTTTTAAAATTAAAATAATCCTAATTCATTTGGATTAGTCTAGCGTGGCTTTCCTTCCTTTTTAACTTTCTAAGTAGGAATTTTAAGGAATTTTTTTTCCGGATCGGCTCCATCTTATTTGTGTTCATTGTTCACATAAATATCCAATAAAGCTGAATGGAAGTTTATGCGTGTTAGATCCTATCATTGGCACTATATTGCTATTTTGGATCCATCTTTATTACATTTACTCCATCTTTTTTTTTTTTTTTTTTTTTGATAATCGCATTTACTCCATCTTTAAATCCTTAAATATTATATCTTCTGTTTTTGTCCTGTGTTGCTATTTTGGCAAGTATATCGATCACACAAGTAATGAAGTAATGAGTAAAAGTATTGTTCCCATGAGGATTAAAGTTCAAACACTAATTCGCTATTCTGTTTAAGTTGGACAATTCAATCAAGAGAGTTGAATAAAAATTAATTAATAATTAAAATAGAAAAGAGCATCAAGAACACAAGAACAAGGTTTAAACAATAAAGAAAAGTGCAGTTATGGACTCGATTTCCCCCAATCTCCCCTTTGTATTCTGAATTAAGAACCTTAGTTAATCCTCCTTTTTATTGCCAATCAATTCATCTAATTTAGCTAAAATCCAATCCCTTGGTATTTTAACCCTTTACTCCCTTAATAGAATCTTAATTACTTGGTGTTTCTCAAAAAGATTTAAGCATTAAAATCAAGAATCATAAAAATTGCACAATTCGTATGTCTATCCCTAAATTCATACAAATTAATGATGAATGAGGCAACCCAAATTCATATACCAACATTCATATTGTCATACATGAATCCTAATTCATTTTACAAGAGGATTAACTCATAGAAGTATGAAGAACAGACACATTCATTCAATATAAAAAGGAAAATTGTATTAAAGATTAATTCATAAACATAAAGATTCAATTGGATTCTGTCTAACCTTAACTACAAAGGAAATTAACTAGCTACTCATGGAAAAAACAAAGACAAAAGAAATCATAGAAGCTTCCCCAAACTCTGGCAATGAAGATGTGGTGAATCTCTATGAATCTCAGCTTGATCTTGCCTTGAACACGTCCTCGGTCCTCAAAAACATGAAAATCCAAGCAAACGCGCTTTCCCAATGTCAAAGATGCCTCCCGCTGTCAAGATATATGAAAATACTCTTAAGAATGGCTTATATAGACGGAGAAATCCTTGTTTTGGGTGAAAACCACGGGCCATAATTGGGCGCTGTAGTCATTTTACAAATTGGAGTGCGCTGCAGCACTCTATGGCAGCAAGCACAATGTTTTGTATTTTGGGCATAACTTGAGCTACACTCGTCCGATTGATGTGATCTTAGTTTCGTTAGAAAGATAAAAGAAAGATCTACAACTTCTATGAAGAACAAAAGATTCAAATCCATCTAATTTGATATGAAAAATTGGCCGGAAGAAAGCTTCAGGGAGATTTTCTCTAAATTTTTGCCCCTCAATTATTGCTTCAAGCCCTTCTAACTTAACCTTGCTCCAATTCAACTTTATTGTCCTACAAAATTAGCAAAGATTAATCACATATATCAGAGGAACAAAGTTACTGCTTTTTAGCCAAATAACTAAGTTCTCATGCTTACAAGGATTACCTCCACCCCACACTCGCTAGTCGGGTTTAACGGGGAGTTGTTTGGTGGTTTAACTAAGTTCTCATTCTTTAGACTAGATTTAAGAGTGATTTTAGCACTTTAAAACATAATAAACTTTTGAGTTTACCACCTTGTTTCCAAAATAAGTACATCACTATTTCATTACTGATATCCTCCCTTTTTACTGCTTGTTTTCCCTACTAGTTCTCAGTATAGTTATGTAATAGCATTAAGGTACTTATGAACATGCACAAAGTTATTTGTTCTAGTGATTATGTTTCCTTTTCCTTTTGCAGGCCAGCAGGGACCTTAAATTTATTAGCTTATCCATGAGTGGATGCTTCTCTGTCGGAGCCCTTTTATTATTGGTATATATCTAGTGATAGACATTTGTCCTAAAGTTAATTTTCATGTTGCTTGAACTTATGCTTCTTTCCTTGTGTCAGCTTGTGAGTAGGAGAGGTTATGGCTTGCCAGGTTGCTGGTGTGTTCTAGTAGGATTTCAATGGGTAAAGATGACATAATCAAATTCAACCTATTTATTACTTTTACTTTTGGCCCTATCTAAATACGTAGGCATTTTTCAGGCTCGATTCTTCCTTGCTCTCCGGCGTCTTCTCTCTCCTAATGGCACGCTTTACTCAGAGGAAGGTCAGTTTAAAATGGAAAAGTTGAAAGCTGCTTAGGTTCAGGTTTGTCCACAAGTTGCGCGAGGAAACTACTAAGGAGCTGATGATGATGGAAACCTAACAGGGAATTACTCCTCTACCCAAGTTTTTTTCTTGCAGTAACCTGTAGCCTTGTTAGTTGTCAAAATTCCGTTGGTTGTTGATTGTATTTTGTGGACTTCAAACATTTATTGTTAAAACCAGCAACTAATAAAATGATTGACAACTAATCACGATAACGGTACCCAAGGCAACATCCAGGGTATCCGAGCAATTCCTAATATACAAAGTTTACCTAGGCAGCGCTGTTTTTTTCTCTGTTTGTTATTCTTTTAACAATTTGCAAGGGTTCGAGCACATTATACCATATGTATTATTATTTGTATCCTCGTCAATTTATCACGTAATGGAACATGAATAAGATATATAACGAAGGATATTCTTTGTTTAAAGATAAAGTTCAACCATGTTTCGATATGCATTCTGAAGCTTTTCCAAATAGAAGTATCATGAAAGCCTTGCAAACCATAGATTCTGAAATATATTTACTGTCAAGTCTTATAGAAATTCATCAAAAGCAAATCTCCCTCGTACTAATGACAAGGCGACTATCTCCAAGAAATGGGGAAATTGCTGTTAGTGGTCCTGAATTTGGGAGGGAGAACATTTCATGCATTTAGAGAAGTTGAGTCTTGGTAAGTTATTTGATTTCTTGGAAGTTCGCTTGCCAAAACAGATAGTAGCTACTGCGTAATCTGAAGAGGTTTGGGAATTTTCTATGATTACTATTAATTAGCAGTGTAAAGTCGTTGCTGGCTAACGTCTAGTATCGATTCGCAGTGGAAGGCCATCACAATTCAGCAATTAACAGCGGACGGTGGCTAAAAAATGGAAGACGTGTTGGATATTTTGCATAGTAAAATATTCTAGTTTGGTCTCAAGCATCATTGCAGTGTCTGCCTTCTTCTTTTTTTTGGTAGTTGGTGTCTGCCATCCATTACCCATCAGCTACCACCGTAATACAAAAGCAGTTAGTAGTTACCGGGCGCAGAAATAGGAGTTCTCTTAGTATCTTTAGTTGTATATCTGGAAGCATATATAACCCTTGTGAACGATCAAATTGCAATGTGAATAGTGAAATCAATTTCTTTTTCTCTCTGTTTTCTTCTTTCTTGTAGAGCTGTGATCTAACGTTGGTGCTTTCATTTTAGAACATCATTTTTCATCATGAATGAACAAGAGTCTGTGTCTGTCCGCTCAAGAACTAGTTTCATCAATTCGTGTCCATGAGCAAATTGATACAATAGGTTTGCGTCCCTTGTTTTCTCACCAATTAAAATTGCAGGTCGTTCGACAAGTTGATCCAACAGGTTTGCGTCCCTTGTTTTCAGCACTATATGTTCTTTTTTTCACCGACTAAATTGCCTCCACCTTATAAGTATGGTTGATTTCAAGATTTCTCCTCACTTGGACCTTGAAGACAAGGTCCTTTTAGTGTGGAAGGGAATGATTTAAAAGGGGTTAGTAGTTACCGGGCTGTTATTGTAAAATACAGTAATGTGTAATATAATAGTTATCAGTTAGTTCTATCGGGCTGTTATTTTAAATATAGTAATGTGTAATATTGTAGTTATAAATATGAGCTTTGTTGATAGGCTTAGTATCTTTAGTTGTATATCTGGAAGTGTATATAACCCTTGTGAACGATCAGATTGCAATGTGAATAGGGAAATCAGTTTCTTTTTCTCTGTTTTCTTCTTTCTTGTAGAGCTGTGCTCTTAACACAAGGCAACACCATTTACGTAAACTTTATGAGGGGAAGACGTAGATTTTAGGACCTAGGACTGAGGGGCAAGGAGTCGATGAGTGGAACTGGGATGAGGACATGATAAAGAGTTGTCCGATGAATATATGGGGACGTAAAAGACGGATTGGGAGAGTGGGAAGTGAGCTAAGCTAAGCAGTTCAAAGGAAGGGATCATCTATTCTTGTACATCATGTAGCTAGGGCTATCCGCTTCTATTCATTTGAGGTATCTCATCCTCCCACTATCTTTGTTCCTTTGTTATGTAACTGCCAATGTAGCGAATCTGAATCCTCATTACAATAAAATCGTGACAATGTTCAGCAAAAATTATTTTTACAGGACAAAGTATGTCAAAATCATATAACCAAAAATAATAATAATAATTAACATTTTTTTTTCTTCTTCTTCTTCTTCTTCTTATTATTATTATTATTATTATTATTATATCTCGACCTATTACATATCCAATAGTGGGCCCAATTTATGTTTGGTCTAAGAAATTCAATATTCAAGAGTTAAAGAGTAAGGAAATGCGTTCATCATGCATATATATATCATCCGTAGATATACAACTTTGATAACAGCAACTCAAAAATTATCAGTCTCTTTAGCTAAGGGACAGATACCTAATTTTCATTATGCGTAAAAGGCATAACCCACAAATAAACATCCCACATACGAGATAGACTGCTAAAGTCAACTCAATATATAATGGAGGCTTGAATCATTTTATCTATCGGCATGTTTGGTGTATAGTATTGGATAAAGCATTATAGTATAAGACCTGATTAAATTTTACTATCCAGCTTATAGCACGGACACAAACTTTTTTTTGAAAATTTGCGTGTCAGACACGTGTCCAACACGGACACGTTCCGACACGCTCGGACATGCGTCTGACACGTGGTCAACATTTGAGAACACGTAGTCAACTCTCCGACACGTTTTTTCGACATGTAGTCAACGCTAGGACACGCTCGGACACATTTTTTTTTTTAAAAAAAAAAATCTTAATTTTATTTTGTTAACTAAATATAAAAGAAATAATTTATAAATTGATTTTTTTCTGTTATGAAATTTGACTTGAAAAATTAACAAAGTACGAAAAATTATTTATATTTATATTTATGTTATGAAATTTAAATATTTGATTGGTTATATAACTTATTATGGATTTTTATATGTATTAAATATAAATCATATTATATATATTAAAAATTTTATTTAATATCAAAACGTGTTCCAACGTGTCCAAATATGACATTTTTTAGAATTAACGTGTCGGCGTGTCGTGTCGTGTCCCGTGTTCGTGTCCGTGCATCATAATTATCCAGTGTTTGGTATGATATTGTATAAGATAATATCCTCAAATATTTTAAAAATTAATATATTAAAAAAATTATTTTAATATATTAATATTGAAATGATATATTAGTTCCTGAGAATTGTACTTGTAAGCAATATTAATACATCAACCTCTTATCAGGCTTAATCCCACCCCGTTAGGTCTTATTAAATTATACATCATTTTGACGTATTAAGATATTCTGCTGTATAAACTTATACTATACAATGGTTATACCAAACAACTAAAAATATCATAACGTGTAATATGATATTATACTGTTAAACCTTATACATCACACCAAACACGACTTAATTTGAGCCTCCAAGTTCAATTATCCCGCAACTGTATCCCACGACGAAATCCATACCATAATAAAATCCACTTAAATTGCTATTGGATCATTTTCCACTTAAATTGCTATTGGATCATATTCAACTGCACGTGTGATCCGGCCCAAATTTTCTTGAACTGATCAATATGTGAATGAAATGTCACATGATTCCGAGAGACATTGAGGGGGTGTTTGGTTCAAGTTTTTGGAGAGGATTACAGGTAATCCTTCTTTGGTAAATGTAATTACCACGTTTGGTAGAAGGAATAAATTACGATTCCCGGATATCCAAAGATTACCGGTAATTTGATTTATAAAGAAAAGTCACTATTCAGATTACCAAAAATAATATGGTAATTCGGAATACCAATCAGAATACCAAGTAAAGGGAAAGCACAACAATAAATTTTGAGACAAAAATACCCCAATACACATAAAAATCTAGACCCAATCTATCAATTACAAAAGTAAAAATAGTTTGGGGTTATTTTTGTATAATAACCTCATATTCCAAGTCATATTTCGTTCTAAACCAAATATGGAATCAGTAATTTTTACCCAATATTCCCGGTAATATTTTGGCGAACCAAACACATCTTTCGTAAGATTCCAAGTAAACTCAATTTCTACTGAATTTCCATTAATCGTGATCTCCGGTTACCAAAAAATTTCTCCTGTAACAAACACACCCTGATAGTGTCCTTGGTTTGTTGACAGTATTACATAACTTGTTTAAAAAGAATAGATCCAAAGAATCATCATGCTTGAGAAAGGTACACGTTAGTGCTAGAAAACAAGGATCAGTCGCCCATTCTGAAAGGTGAAGAGTTAAGACGGCGTTTGGTAGGTAGGCTACTGAAAATTGAGATAGTGCCTACCATGACACCATATTGCTTCAGATATCTTAACTTTTTCTGCCCACTTCACTTCCCACAGATGAGGGACCGCGACACGCTTGGCAAAAGAGGCGCTCATTTTTCTTTCTCTAGTTGGTAGGATAAGTGAATATTTAGAAAAAGAATTGTTGTTCACTTCGGATCAAAGAAGAGCATTGTGTGATAATGCCCTAAAGTGGGATGATGAAAGACCAAGCCCAATGGACCTTTTTTATATTTATGGCACCAAGTTATAATGTGTTTTTTTTTTTTTGTAAAACTTCAAAAATCACCATGTTACTTTCCTCGTGATCACTTATCCCTAATAAAATTTTGAATCATTTATCTTCCTGACTTAAAGTTTTTTTATCATTTACTCCCCTAAGTGAAGGGGATAACTGGTAAAGAAAATTTAAGTCAAAAAGTAAATGATAAAAAAAAATCTAAATAGGGGTGTAAGTGATTCAAAAATTTTATGAGGGGGTAAGTGATAATTAAGAAAATCCATACGAAGGTTTTTGAAATTTTCCCTTTTTTTTTAGAAACAGAATAATTATGACAAAAATGAGATGATTAGAAGAACTACATAAATGACAAGGGGTTAGCTGACTTAGTTAACTTTTTTATGCATAATTTATTTAAGTTTAAATCTAGAGATTTATTAATAACTTTTTTATGCATAATTTAAGTTTAAATCTAGAGAGTTATTAATAACTTTTTTTAATATTATTCATTGGTTCATTGATTACGACTCTAATCCAATAAAACAAGCATGTAGATTTGGGCTTAAGATGATTTTTTCAAATGAAATAGTATATTTCTTATTGGAAATAAATAA